TGGCCGCCTCGGACGGAGCCGCGGCCGTGGCCTCGCGGGCGCCGGTTGCAATTAGCGATAGTTGTTCACGTAGTTGCGTTAAGCAGCGATGTGGGAAAAGGCAGTGATATAGGGCATCTGCAGGGAGTCCCGCTGTCAAGTGCACCTAATTCCGTAGGAGCTGTTTGGTGTAGGCCTGTCTGCCTGCCTGCCAGACCTGTGGGCAGATTTTAGAAAGCTGGCCTTCAAACGAGGTCTTTTTAGTGAAAATATGTGTTCTCTACGAATATGTGTTCTCTCAGCAATGTGGCCACTTAATCATTGATACACAAATAATGCACGTTTGTTTTGAGTCAGTTAGGGGTTCACACTGATTTTGGCCGTGTTACTTTGATTTGCTTTATAGGACTTCGTGATCATATGTTAAGTTTTTGCATATACAGTGGGAAAAAGCTTTTTTACAATACTCTGATGAATGAACTTGATCTGAATCTGATTTTGTTGGTTTTTCTAGTTACGTATAACGTGTAAGATTATTCAGATTTTGTTATCTTAGAAAAAGAAGAGCTATCACAAAGCATTTTTTTTCATCTTTCATTTTTCCAATACCTATTGGCACAAAAAAAGGAAAATTTTGCCATCCTGTCAGTTGGTTATGAATGCAAACTCAAACAGTTTTTCTGGTGTTCTTGCTGTTTCTTGTTTGGGAAAGGCTGTTGGCAATTTCATGTTGGGAATTAAAATGTAAAATAAAATGGAATGCATATGGAACTGAAACTGGAGGGATAGTACCTAACATGTATGTTTGTGGTGTTAACGTCTGGGATTACTGTACATAAATGGCAAAACCGTTAATGCTTAGCAGCCAACAAACTGAAACACCTTTAAACAAATGCATTTTATGTGATGTGCTGCTCCATATTTCATTTTCTCCAATTTTTAGGTAGATTATTACAGGTAAATTCTGTTTCTGAAACTTTGTACTGTTTTAGATATATATTAACTAATGTGTTAAAAGATCACTTTTGTGATTTCTGAATGAAGTGCTGGAAAAAAAAACCCAACCTTGCAACTCTCTTTTTACCGTACTTGAGATTGTCTGTGCAAGCTTAATTTAGCTCCTCTGCAGAAATGTATCATGAAGTACTGGCCCCATAGGACTTTGCACCATACAGCTGATGGGCCTACCTTGGGGTATGCGTTGGAGAAAAGCTTGTGATTGATTTTTTTTTTTCTTTTCTGTAGAATTGGGTTGTAAAAAGACAGGAGATGGTTTTCATGGAGAACTGGGTTGCATCTTTGTATCTATAATGTTTGATACTAGTAGATAATAGTCTTTAAGGCAAGGTTCTTCCTTTGTGTTGTGGCATAGGTTTACGCCTCTGCCAAAAGGGCAGGGTCCTGTATTTGACTGCTTGCTTCTGCCTCCTTTGGTCTGGCACTGATATTCATGTGGTTTCAGCTGGGTCGGTTCCTCAGTATAGAGAAATAGTAACTGCCTTTACAACTGCCTTCAGTGAAGGCTGTGTGTCGAATGAGGGTGATGCAACATGAAACAAACAACTTGAGTAACACAGGTATCTGATAACTCAAGTTGGACAGCTTAAAAATAGTGAAAACATTTGGCATACGTTTCTTTTTTGGCTCAAATCCCTAAATGAAAGAGGAGGGTAATGCGTCCTGTAGGGATATTGTGAAGATTAATTAGTATTTACAAAAAAATGAAAATCTGTAGTAGAGTTAGAGCTATACAAAAGCCACTGAATGAATTAAGGCAAAACAGGAAATACAGTGTAACTAAGTAGGTCATGCACAGAACGTGGAGGAAATATTGGATAGGTGCTGAAATGAACAGTATAATTTGTCGTCATTGTAAAATGCTGGTCTGGTGGGAAAATAGCGTATAATTATTTAAAACTGTATGTGCAGTTTAAATATAATAAAGGTGATGCAGTTGAAATTAGGACTGGCACTTTCTGAGGGTAGTAACTTTACTTACTATTTTAAGGAGGTTTAGTGCCATTTCCTCTGTGTTGGTGTTTCTGCAGAGATTCCCAAGGGCTCTGGCTCCTTTAGACCCGCTGCAGGTCTCCGCAGAGGTGCGCAGGGGTCTGATGTCGGCAGGTCCCTGCTGGGATGTGGCGCCAGAGGGCAGTAGTTTGCTGCGTCCATAGGTTTCACAGGTGCTTACAAATTGCAGGGATGTTTCTGGGTCTCCAGTTTCATTTCACACCAAAGAGGGGTACGTTTTCTAATAGGGACAGTTTCTTTCATCTGTTTCTTCTTAAGGCTTTTCCATTCCCTCTCCTTCAGACTTCTACTCCTGACTCTTCCCTTCCCATGCTGTTCATCCGTTTTAGGGGATACGTGATATAAAGTGTAATATGTAAATTCTCTCCCTAATCTGAATCTCTTTATGTCCTTGATTGCACTGAGATTCTTTTTTGCTTTGCATTGCTCTGCCTCCTTATTTGATCTTTCTCTCTGTTTGTCACCCTGATTCTGGTATCCCCTGTTAAAGTTCAGTATCCTCATGGGCTTCCAAGTCTGGACTTCATGAGCTTCTCTGTGTTTCTGTTTCTCTCCTCTTGTCCGTCTCCCTATCCCAGTTTATTTAATCAGCCATTGCAGGTTTTATGTATACCTCAGCTCTTCACATTACATATCTTTAATCCACAGCCAATTATATCTCTTTCTGTGTTTTTTTTTTTCCCCCCCCATCTTCCCTCCCCACCCTTCAGCCCTAGATTCAATTCTGAGTCCACTTTCCCCCAACTCCATTGCCTGGTTCTTGCCTCTATTATAGTTCATGTAGCTTCATCCTCCATGGTGGGCAAAACGGAAAAGTAGAGGGCATGGACATCTGGGAAGTGCTTGTAATAAAAATGTTATAGAAGCTGATCACATTTAGATTTCGGCATATTCTGTTTAACATATGAAAACTTAAGTTTTAAGATGGTTTTAGAACTTGACTGTGTTTGGGAAGATTTTTCTGAGCATAGCCGAAGTTGTATCACTGTCAAGTTAGCATTTGCATCAAAACTGGAGCTTCTGCTGCAAAACTTGGAAATGAAGGGACTGTTACTGGAATTTAATAGGGAAACCAGTGTGTTCTCTGATATGTTCTTAGAAATGTATCATCCATTCAAGTGTTCATGGATACAAAACTTCACCTAGAAAAAAGCACGCCTGATGGAAAATTCAAACTACAGAGTTAAAGTTTGGTAAAATTAGGAACTTACCTCAATAAAAATACATTTTCATATTTTAGATGACTTAGTAATTGGCAAGATCATCTACCTTCTCTGTAATGATTGCGGACGAGCATTATACAGGGATTCTATCAGAATACCAAGTTTGTTTGCAGTTGCTGCTGGTAGCCGGTCTGTTGAGAAAAGGGTGGCAACTTCTGTTTCAGAGTGAAGAGTGTGGTGGTGGTGGTGGGGGGTCCCTGTTTCTCCCCACACCACTGAGCAAGCTAGTGTTGAAGAACATCTGTTGCATGGCCAACCTGTGAACTCTAGTCTGATTTTTTTTTTAAATCAAAAATAGTGTTTGTTTAAGTGGTAGAAATATCTTTTCAAAATACATATTTAATGTTTTAAGATATGGGCTGCAATATGAGGGAACTTTGGTGAAGGGAGTTTTTAGCAGTTATGAGATACATGAAGATTGGATTGCCCTATTTACCTGCTACATTTCATAGTTGGTTCATTGTTCAGATACCAACCATAGTAAATCATCATTTCTCTCAGCTTTCTTTGGTGTGGTGCCTGAGAGAGAATTACTGATTTTTTTTCATTCTCTATAATGAACTAAAATGTGCTTTTGTTGGTAGCTGTGTGCACGTTCTGTTCTTGAAGAACTCTGCTCGGTCACAGCTTGGATTTATGAGGGATTGGAAATACAGTGTTAAAAATAAAATATACCAGTTTATATTAAATGTCAGCATGAGGAATAGCCTTATGTATTGTATTTTAATTCTCTTTGTAGATTTAGCCAGTTGTACTGTTCTGTACATGGTGGTACTTAAAATGTTTTGTGATGCATATGTGTGAATGGCATGTACTCTGTTTCATGTTCCCATGTTATCACAGCCATTTTAAGTTTAAGTTTGAGAAGACTGTACTGTGCTTATCAATAAATTGCCTTTTTTTTTTTTTTTTGTAACTTAGGTTAGTATACCATTCACAAATGCTGTAATTCCTTGATTTCCGCCCTTACTTTTTTATTTACTGTGACTTTTGTTGAACGTTATCTGCCAGGGCTTCTGGTTTCTTAACCCAAAAAGTTAAGAAAATGCACTGTTTTGAAAAGCTACTACGTATTTAATAGATAAAGAAAATCGAAGCAATTATCTCATTTGTATCTCAGTAAGACTCTCCACGATATCCCTTTCCTTTTTATTAGATCTGCAAGATGTTGAATGGAGTGGGTATTTCGGGTTTTAACAGTTATAAAAGCTGCAGTGTGCTGGCTCCAAATCTAGTTTCTAACATCAGATTAAATGTAAAGTGTGTTAAAATGTAGCCTGATATGCATTTAAGACAGTCCTTGACTTTATGTAACTTGCATGTTGGACTGAGCCTATACTTGGTGGTGGTTAAGATTAGGTGGTTTTGAGCATGTGCACTAACGTAAATAGATGCTAGACATCTTTCTAGCTGATGTGAAAGACTCCTTTCTCCTGAATTCCGACAACTCTGCTCTTTCAGTACTTAAAGACTTAGTCAGTTTTCTTCAACCTGGATAAAATCAGTTTGGCAGTGGGAGGCATTTTGAAGAACTAGTCTTGTAAACTGTTCTTGCATATCCAATTGGTAAAGGTAGGCCGTTGTCACCTAGAATTAGTGAATGTTTTTCGGAGCTGGCTTTTTTGGCTGTTTTATACCTCGTTATTTGAGGGCAGAACTGAACAGCACAAGTACCTAGGCCTTGTTTAGGCATTATGTTTTTAGGGACTTGTTACTACTTTCAGTGCTTGCTCTGGGCCCCTAAATCATCTGCTGCACAGATGCATCTGCATAAGTTTCTCATGCTATCTTGTAGTTTATACCTCTGATTAAAGCAAAACCTGCACCATTTTCAGGATATATGAAATTTTGAAACCTGTTCTGGACCTTTACCAATTTGTTTCTGCCACTGCTTTTTTTTTCTTTTTTTTTTTTTTTAAGATTTGTACAGCCTACAATTCTTTCCTGTTGTAATAGGAAGTAGACATTTATGTTCTATAGAATTGCTCAAAACATCCCCGTTCTCTTTTTGGATTTTTTTTGTCCAGTAATTGTTACATAGCCCTGCTGACAGATGCTCATTTTGAGCTGTGGGGTAGATATGGACCTATCCATAGAGGTTGAGATTTACTCATTGTTTGTTTAGAAACCTTTCACTAGTGAGATTTAAACTGTAGCATTGCCTACATGAGCTTCTTGAATTTCTTTGTGATTAGTTCTGTTACTACTGCATGATAAATATATGTTTAGCAATTTACATCCCTTCAAAATGAACATACCCATTTATATTTGTATGAGCGTTTGGCCAAGAAAAGAAGCACGATGAAGTTTGGCCTAGAAGGGTTCCTGAAATTGTATGAATTTCTCATGAAATTCTATAAACAATAAAATCGTGGTGGTCTTTTAATCGTTACCCTCTTCATTTCATAATTTATCTTAAAAAACGATTTAGAGCCTAAAGCAGAGGGTGTAGAATTACCATTTTTGTGAACTTACATGGTATATGTAGTTGGTTATTCTTTGTATTTCTTGAGCAAAATTTTCTTTGCCTCCTTCCCTTCTCACAGCAAGGACATGCAAACTAATTTGCACTTTGGTGACTGGTCATAGATATATTATTCGTAATAGAGTTTAGAGTTCATTTCCAGTTATAAATGAGGCAATAAAACTAGTCCTGTCACTTTACGGGAAAGCGGCTTCATTCAGTGCAATTTCATATCCATGGTCATGAAAACTGATGTTTGACAGAAAAGCTGAAATCATATTCTTACATAAAGAAGCACACCGTAGTCAAATACATGACTTCCTAGTTCAGTGAAAAAGGAGAGATGGTAAGAGTTTGAAAATAAGTTTGAAACTGTTAAACTTGCTTCCATCTAATTAATTTTTTCTTTCTTTTCTAGTGATTCTCCTTTGCCTGTTTCGTCACGTGTCTGTTTTGTAAAGTTCCATGATCCTGACTCGGCAGTTGTGGCCCAGCATCTGACAAACACTGTGTTCGTTGACAGAGCGTTGATAGTCGTACCATATGCAGAAGGTTTGTGAATTGTTTAATGGCCTATGAAGCCACCGGATGATGGCATTTTATTCCAGTATAGTTCACTAGAATGAGGCTCAGTAGAATGTAAAACATACGAGATATTAACATTTTGAAACCCTTGGTATATTGCCATTGGCCTGTGGATTAAATATTAGTGACACTGAATGAAAGTGGAAAGTTCACCTCTTACTGTTCTTACGTGTGTCTTAAGTTTAGAATATAAATACTCTAGTTAGAATTATTTGCAAATTATGCTCTTTATTAACCTCAATGAGACGTTTTCCTAAACAGACTTACGCAAACAGGTCAATATTTCAAGGAAATTTTACCTTAAGGATGAAGTGTTTGCCGTTTTCACATATGCCTAAATCTCTTTATGAGAGTTGTTTCTCTCTCTGTGAGAGTGCATGGGAGAGCAGAGTAACATTGCTTTGAGATATGCTGCCACTTCATTTAGTTGAGAACTTCTCTGAAAAAGCACTCGCTCTCATAGTGAAGTCCAGTATACCAAGGGTTTGAATAATTGTGGTTTAATTTCAAAGTGAGATCTTCCAAGAGGTGCCAAATGGGCACTGGTATTAGTTTTTATTCCAAGTTTTCTTGTTCAGCCTTGCTATATTTTATAGAATTTCACTAAATAATAAACTCTTCTCTCTGTTATTTGTGTGTGTGATTTTTGTAGTGGAGAAGGCAAATGCAAAGCCCTTCCAGATGACTGAAAAACAGTGGGTCCTCTGCAGCTACAGGGGATTCTAGACATTAACTAAAGGCCAGCAAGCACTCAAGTCCCCAAGTGTTTTCCTGGTGTAACCACTTGTTAACTACATTTTCTCTTCTTCTTTTTATTTTTACATTTTAGGGTGTTACAGTAATTTGAAAGGCAATGAGCAGGGTTTTTGGAACTTACCTTAAAAACAATCTGCTGAGAAGACAACACTTCTTACAGAAGTCTTATTAAACTCTTCTAGACTTGCTTTATAAGTAATTTATTTCCACTGTACTATTTCTTGGTTTACTTCTGAAATCATGGATTTTCTTAAATCATGTGAATTAAATAAAACCTCTGCAGATTTAGTCATACTCCAATAATAAATTTGATAGACGGTCTTGGTTCAGACCTTTTATCAAGACATTGTAATGCTATAGGCTCTCTTTTGAGGCCTTGGGAGCTGTCTTAGATGTGTATTCCTTAAATCTAAAAGATATGAAAATGTAGTTTATTTAAGGAATTCAAGAATGTGCAGCATGACCAGTGATTGAGACGTGATACTTTTTTGAGAGTACAGAGCGCATTCTGAAATTATTGTTATTGCTTCTGCTTTCACTAGTTTAGGTATAATAGCATAGCTAAAAAGCACCTTATCCTAATCTTTGCATTAAAGCATGGTATAGTAACAGTCCATCTGAGTTAGTACTGAAATACTCTCCACGGCCCATACTTAAGAACATTGGTGTTTAACTTTGAGAATAAAACAATTTTCTCTTGGCCAGTCTGACTTTGTCCGTTATGCTTGATGGTGGATAAATCTGGCACACAGAGAAACCTGCCCAGTAGTTTTGGTTCAGAACGTGGAAAGATAAAGTGTAATACAGTAGTTTATTCTAATGGGCCTGTTTAAATGAAGGAGTTCCTCATGGGCTGTTTCTTGTGGTGTTCTGGTGATTAAGAATGGTGATATTTTTGGCATAATGATATGGCATATCGCAACAGATATGTTTTGCCAATAAAGTTATGCCCCCTGATTTTGTAATAATATTCTCTGCATTTGTCCCTGAACTGGAGTATAATTTTTCCTCCAAAAACATATTGCCAGGGTCCCAATTCAACAAGTTATTTAAGCACAATACAGCAAGATTCTTAAAACCGTAATGAAATTGCTCGTGTGCTTAAAGCCAGGCGTATGCTTAACTACTGTGCTGAACTGGGCCCGTTTATCTTTTATTTTCTATTGTGATAATTCTGTATTAATGTTGCCTGTCGCTAAAGTAAATGTTTATTATCTGTTTAGTGCAGTAATTATCCCCTATATCACAAGCGTACTCCAGTTTTAGCAT